CAACTTCTCATTCCTCTGCTTCTACATAGTGCAGATTATCACCAGTAGTGTAATCATACATGTATATAGGGTAATAATGTCTGTCTTATTCTACCATCCTTTCCATCCCCACAGCCCATCCCTTTCCCTTACTCCCTCTGCACAGTCCAAAGTTCCTTCATTCTTTCCTACCCTTCAACACAATTACGGATCAGCATCCACTTATCAGAGAAAACATTTGGCCTTTGGTTTTGGGGGATTGGCTTATTTCACTAGGATGATAATCTTTAGTTCCATCCATTGACCTGAAAATGCCATAATTTTATTCTTCTTTGAGGCTGAGTAATATTCCATTGTGTATATGTACCACATTTTCTTTATCCATTCATCTGTTAAAGGGCATCTAGGTTGGTTCCATAGGTTAGCTATTGTGAATTGATTTGCTGTAAACATTGAGGTGACTGTGTCACTGTAGTATACTGATTTTAAGTCCTTTGGATATACACCGAGGAGTGGGATAGCTGGCTCAAATGGTGGTTCCATTCCAGATTTTCTGAGGAATCTCCATACTGCTTTTCAGAGTGGTTGCACCAATTTGCAGTGCCACCAGGGATGTACGAGTGTACCTTTTCCCCCACATCCTTGCCAACAAGGATTATTATTGCTTGTATTATTGACAATTGCCATTCTGACTGTAGTGAGATGAAATTTTAGAGTAGTTTTGATTTGCATTTCTCTAATTGCTAGAGATGATGAACATTTTTTTCATATGTTTGTTGATCAATTATATTTCTTCTTCTGTGAAGTGTATGTTCACTTCCTTAGCTCATTTTTTGATTGGGTTATTTGTTTTTGGTGTTGGGTTTTGAGTTATTTATACATCCTGGAGATTGGTGCTCTATCTGATGTATGTGTGGTAAATATTTTCCTTTTTTTAAAAAAGAAAAAATATATACTAGCTAGGACTCTAGACAATATTGAATAGAAATAGTGAGATAAAACACCTTGCTTTTTCTTAATTTTAAAGAGATCTTGTCTATGTAGTTCACCATAATAATGATCTTTGCTGTCAATATTTTTGATAAAAAGCCTTTATATCAGATTTGAGAAGTTTTGAACCCTTCCTAATTGATTAGGAGTTCATGTTCTAAATGGGTGATGAATTTATCAAATGCTTTTATTATCTTTTGAGATAATGTTTTTTGATTTTAATTAATGTGGTAACTGATGTTACTATGAAAATTTATTTTTTATATATACGTGAAAAGAACATACATAATATATTCTATATATAGTCTCAAGAATGTAAATATTATAAATATTTTCTACATTTTTCTAAAGAATAGAAGCACACACACACACACCACATTGAATTTGATTTGCTAAGTTTTTTAGATTTTCTGTCTTCTAGGTCCTAAGTGAGGTTGAACTGTACTTCTCCTTCCTCTTCTTTTTTTTTTTTTTTTTTTGTCTGATTTTGGTAACAAGTTTAGGCTGGCCTCATAGAATAAGTCAGGAAATATTTATTTTGATTTTGATTTTCCCGTGATGCAAACTAGTTTGTTAATTTTAGAATTTTCTTCTTAAAAATTCTAACATTTTCATAAAATGTTGTAAAGCGGCTTGGTCTGGTGTGTTCTTTGTGACAAGATTTTTAACTATTTGATTCAGATTTCGAAAGGTGTTAGGACTCTTCCAGCTTTCTGTTTTTCTTAAGTCTGTTTCAGGAAGCTCTGTTTTCCTGAGATTGTGTGAACTTCCTCAAAATTTTCTAATTTATTGGCCCAAGTTTTTTTTTTATTTGTTCATTTTAGTTATAAATGATAGTATGGCCCAAGGTTTTTAACGTAGCTATTGCATTATTAACCTTTTCTCTACTCATGTTCCCCTTTTCCTTCCTTCCTTCCTTCCCTTCTTTCTGTTTTTTTTTAAAGTTTTTAATTTTATTTATTCTAATGAGTTCTATATGACAGCAGAATGCAATTCAATTTATAGCACACAAATAGAGCACAATTTTTCAAGTCTCTGGTTGAACACAAAGTAGAGTCACACCATTCGTGTCTTCATATATGCACTTAGGGTAATGATGTCCATCTTATTCCACCATCTTTTCTACTCCCATGCCCCTCCCTTCCCCTTCCACCCCCTTGCCCTGTCTAAAGTTTGTCTATTCCTCCTATGCTTCACCCCCATCCCCATTATGAATCAGCATTCTTAGATCAGAGAAGACATTTGGCATTTGGTTTTGGGGGGATTGGCTTATTTCACTTAGCATTGTATTCTCTAACTTTATTCATTTACCACAAATGCCATGATTTTATTCTCTTTTAATATTGAGTAATATTCCATTCTGTATATGTACCACATTTTCTTTATCCATTCATCTACTGAAGGTTATTTAGGTTGGATCCACAATTTAGCTATTGTGAATTGTGCTGCTATAAACATTGATGTGGCTGTGTCCCTATAGTGTGCTGTTTTTATTTCTTTCTGTTTTTTTTGATGCTAGTCATTGAACCCAGATCTTTGCACATACTAGACGAGAGCTCCACTGAGCTATATCCCCAGCCTCACTCTTTATTCTTGATACTACATAATTTTGTCTTCTCTTTTTCTTAACCCATTTTGTAAGAAGTTTGTCATATTATAGGTTGTTTTTAAAGAGAAATTTTGAAGATTCATTGATCCTTCTTATTGTATTTGTTTTCTGTTTCATTCATTTTTGTTCTCATATTTTTATCTACTTTATTTCTCTTTCTTTTTTTCACCTTTTTGTGTGTGGGTTTATTCTATTTCAAACTTTTGAAACTGGCTGCTTAGCTTGTTTCCTTTTTAGTCTTTCTTTAGAGTATTTACACCTGCCCATTTCCTTCTAATTATTACTTTTCTGGTATTCTACAAAATATGTAACATTTTCATTATAATCCAATTCTGGTTATTTTTAATTTTCATCGTAAGTTTTTCTTTGACCTAGGAATTACTTAGAAATGTTTGTAAATTTCCAAATCTAGGGAAATTTAGCCATGCCTTTTTTCACTGTCATCTGATATAGTTGCATTGTGGTAAGAAAATGTGTTCTGTATGTCACACATTCTTTGAAATTTTGACTTATATCAAAGCCCAATCTTTGGCATTTTTGTTTTTTGAGATGAGTAGTAAGTGTTGCATGCATGCTTCAGAAGAATGGCTAATTTTTAATTGCTATGTGCAGAGTTTTTTGTAAGTACAATAAATCAATTGTGTGTCAAATCTTCTCTATCTTTAATTTAATCTCCCGTAATGGTTGTGGTTTAATGGCTCCTCTTGCCTTGCACTAATGGCATCTACATGAGGTATCAATCCAGAGGTCCTGTGCTTGGTGCTGAGGGAAGAGAGAGGACTCCCCAAGAGGACAGTGCTAGAGTTGGGCACAGCGTCCTGCTTGCAGAGCAGAGTATCAGAGCTGCTGGAGCAGGGCTCATTCTCTGCTGATTGGCAGTACAGATGATCTCCTCAGTCACAAGTAAGCCCCATGGCATTCCTGCCTGTGGGTGGGAGGCTGGGCTGGCTGGGTGTGGGTATGACCTCAGGAAGTGAATACACTCCTTCATTTAACAAATACTTCTGGGACCTGGATTGAGTCAGGCTCTGGTAAAGGTGCTCTGGCCCTGGCCCTCAGGGTCCCTATCCAGTGGGAGTCATTTTAATTCCTGTGACAGAAGCATCCTAAAAGGTAAGAAGTCAGCATTTCTTACAGAAGCATGGGGTAGGTACCCATTGGTGCTGGGGTTATCATGCCACACCATGAAGACAAATCACTCTCAAGTGTGACTGCCAGGTACCAGGTCATCTTGTGAGAGTCTATCTTAGGGGGTATCTCAAGTCTCTGTATTTCCTCTGCTCCATTTAAGCAGGCAACAAAATGTATTTTCTGGACTTAGAAGGTTGTGGCAGGTTATAAAGCAGAAGTTGCTGCAGGCTCTTCCTTTCCTGGTTATACAGACAACAGGTTGAACCCCTAGAGGAGGAAGTTTTGAGGGGTGTGTATAAGTTCATGCTGTTAGTGTTCACTCACCCAGGAGAAAACATTTGAAAATTAGTTGTAGACGTTGAAAAGTGAGTGGTTTTACAAAAGAATGGAATCACTTGGTGCATTTGGAGGCCCTGGGCCTAGTCTGATTGCAGCTCAATGACATTACCACAAGGGTGACTTTATTAAGAGTAGGAATCACGGGTATTTTCCTCCACATTCCAGCTTTTATAGCTATCTCTAAATATTCACATGTATCACCATACTGAGGTGGTGGCTATCATTTCATCTGCCACTAGGTCTTGCTATTTGCTATGTGGATGAAGAAGCATATGTACCTCTACATCACAAGTTTATTTTTTAAGAATATATTCAGCTGGGGGCAAGAGGATCACAAGTTTCAGGCTCACTTTAGCAATTTCGGGAGAACATGTCTCAAAATTTTAAGAAGTTGGGGGCTGAGGATTAGTTCAGTGGAAGCATACCCCTGGATTTTTTTTCATGACTATATTTCAGTGATTCTGACTTCTTTCAGAATGCCAATTTACTTTAGTTTGGGCATCTACAATAGTTACTCTGAGAAGAGAGCAGTTGCCCCCTCCCCCCCAGATTCAGAGAGGTCATGGCACAAAAACAGTGCTGGGCCATCCCAGCATTCAATGGTGGACTAGGGGCAGGGATTTCTGTCCTTGCCCCAAGGCAGGGGTGGTACCCTCAAGGGCTGGGCTCCAGGGCAGACCAGCTTTGCCTACATTCTCCTCGGAGACTGACTGGCCTGTGTCTCTGGGCAAGAAACTGCACTCAACCATGGTGCAGTTCCCTTGCTTTGTGGGGCAGTGGACCACATAGCCTGCAGGACCCAGCAGAATGTCGAATGCAATTCTCATCACATGCCAACTCCCTTCCACTGCTTGGCAGAGGCTGATGATAGGGGCTTCCCTAACCACTGCCTTCAGAGAAGGCTGAGAGGAACTGACCCTCCTCCCTCCCGGCTGTGGCTGTGGCTTCCTTCCTTGTCAGTCACGTGGGACTTGGCTCCTGCCCCTGGAGCCTCAGGTCACACAGCTCACTGTGCCTGACCTGGTAGGAGCCGGGAGCAGAGCGCCAGCATGAGTTCGGGGTTTGGCATGCTGACAGCCTTCCTTTTCCTCCTGGGTAAGTGGGGAGCGTTAAAGGGAACAGATATTATTCTTCTCTGGCTGGGGGGGGCAGGTGGTGAGTGAACAGGAAACTGGGACCCTCAGCCCATCAGGACTCCATCCCTAACACAGGGCTGTGTCCCTCTGGACAGAGGGGTTTTCTGACTGACCCGACAGGGAGCAGTCCCCTGTGTTATTTCATTTCAGTTGTAACTTACAAATGTTCCTGGGCTAAGGGAGAAGGAAAGGTCACGTGGCAGAAGGAGCTTCAGACTTGGGATCTAGAAAAATCAGTTTCAACTGTGACTCCACTGTTGACCAACTAGAAGAGACTTCTGAGACTCTGCTACTATTAGTCTCTGAACTAATGAAATGGGAAATAATAATGTTTATTTTTTGGGATTGTCAGACAATTATGTTAAATTTAAATGAGTCCAGTCAAGATAATTTCATAGAAAGAGAAAACATACAGAGGGGGTGCTGCTGTAGGTTGGCGGGGGAATCCGTGTTATTGTCGTATGTCTGAGCCTTTTGGAAACTGAGGCAGCATAAAGGCCACCCTTCAAACCCCTATTCTTGAGATGAAGTCGGAAATATTTCAGACATGTTGCTTAGAGTAACAGGTAATGAACTTATTAGAAGGGATGGGAAAGGGGAAAAGGGGATACTCTCAAGGGAGACAGTGAGTGGGACAGTGTGCTCTTCTGCAAACCGGTTTTATTGGGAATCCCAGAGAAGTCTCCTGAGAGTTCCACCCAGGTTCACCTCTTGGCTTTTGACTGGCAGCAGGATGACATCAGACTTTCAAGTCTCTGCTGCCATAGCAACTCTAGGTCACTTTGGCCCAGGTTCTGCTGACCAGTTTTAACTGGATTCTTAATCCTAAATTCTTACATATTTTATGACTAGGAGGAATTATCTTTATCTCCCTGAATTTTGGGATCTGGTCTGTGAAAAGGTCACAAAAGTCTCTGCCTATAGGGTAACTTGTGCTTTTCTTATCAACATTATTTTGGATCTGCATTTCTTCTGCAGATAATAGGTGGTTTGCTGAGGAATGTGACATATCCTGTCCACTTAAGCTAGGTAGGGCTGCTGTTAAGTTGTTTCTTAGAAAGGAAGGCATGTGGGGTTCAGCACAGCGGGTCCATTTTGTAGAATTATTCCCTTAACCTCATGTTCCCACCACTAGCATCTGTCTATTCCCTATCATTATTAGGCAGTAGGGTGGACCTGTTATTCAGAACTATCTTTGTCTTTAAAAATCACCTGCAATGCAGTGCATTGAAAGAAGGAAGAAGCGGGAGAGGCAGAGGCTAACAGAAAAGTAGGGTGAGATAGAAAGTGGGAGAGATAAAATCAAAGAAGTAGACAGAAAGGAAGAAACACAGAGATGTGGAGACAGAATTTCAGTGAGATGGTTCAAAACATTTATAGATGGAGATAAACAGAGACACAGAGATTCACGCTACTTTGCAAAGTCCCCTTTGAGATCAACAATTATTTCTTTAAAATGCAGCAGACATACACAAAGATCAACTTTCCCAGAACTTGGATTAAACAACATTCAAAGGCAAGCAAGCTGTCTCCAGATATAAACTTCCATCTGCTGGCAGTAGCATGCATCCTGGACATGGACAAAATTATTCCCAGGGCAGGGAACTCCATCTGAAGCCTGCACTAAGCAGGGATAACACAGACTTTGGCTTCTGGGAGTCAGAATGTCACACAGACATCTATCAGGTCCCTGACAGTGGCAATGGCAGGATGACAGGAACCAGAAAGCAGAAATGAAAGGTGTGCAGAGTAGCAAACTCAGAGCATGACCTGCTCCAGTGAAGTGACAGAAGGTAACAGAAGTTTTAAGTGCTCTTTGACTTAGGTAGATACACAAACCAATCTGTCATGCGGGGAGAAAAGGAATTTGAATTTAAGAAACTCAAAACTGTGCAAATTTTATAAACAGGCAATTCCTTGAAGAACTACGGGCAATAAACTTTTACAATGCTCAAATTAAAAAATAATAGCACAACATCTAAGATTTTCTAGTGTTTCTGATGTGCCTAGTACTCTGCTAAATTTATATTTTATCATTTGGTCCCCTTGACACCTCTCTGTAAAGGTACCACTGTTACTCGTGTTTCAGAGATGGGGTTTGAATTTCTTGTCCAAGGCATCTCTGCTTGCTGGTCCTTCATAGTAGAGATAGATAGTGGTCAGGAGTACAGGCTTGTTCTGAACTTTCCGAGTCTCAAGACTTGCTCTGCTTGCTATATGACAGGCTTCAGGGAAATCAGACAAGTTTTTCATCCTCTCTCTGCTCAGTTTTCTCATCTGCAAATTGGGGATAATGATCCTACCTATTCTCTTGTAGGGCTGTTGAGAGAATTGAATTCGTTACCACATTCAAAGCACTCAGCACAGTGCCCTGCATGTGGTGACACTACTGGATATTAGGGGACTAATTTGTGCTGGTCTTTACGGAAGGCATTTTGACCATATGTTGCAAAAAGAAAGCTGATCACAACCTTTTACCTAGGGATTCCATTTGAAGAATTTTTTTTGGAATGAAATAGCATAAAAGTTCCCAAAATATTCTATTGGGTGTTATTTAGGACTTGCTGAAACCATAGTGAAAACCAAAAATGACTGGCTATCGGTAGGAATCTGGCTAAATCAGATCTGGATAATCAGAATCTGGCTAAATGTTGCAGTGTCCAATATGATTAGATGAAAGACATGATTTTCTATAGACATGAACAGTGAAGAGCGACAAAGTGGTAATTACAGAGCTAGAGTTATGTGGGTGTACTTACGTTTTACAGGTTGCTTATCTAGAGAAAATACAGCAGGTGGTTTACCAGTAGTCTTTACTCTCTTCAGGAAGTAAGATTAAGGGGCATATTTTAATTTCCCTGTGTTGAAATTTTTCATAATGATCTATGTATTCCAAATTTCCAATAAATAAATTTATATTGACAAAGAGAAAAAATAAAAGTCTGTTGAAAGCAAGTTAAGAAAAATTTGGGTTTTACCTTAATCTTACTAGATACCTAGTGGAGTATCTAGTAAGAACTGCAAAGTCACCCAAGTAGATGTGAACTGTACCTGGGAGGCTTGAGGGTATATGGGGGCAGTCTCTATCCAGTCACCCTGAGATACCAAGGTTACAGGTGTAAGCCGGGCTTGAGGACTCAGGCACACTATTTTTTCCTCCCAGGGTAGCTAGAGTTTTTGAAACAATTTTTTTAATATTCCAAAACAATTTTTTTTAAAAAAATACAGAGCTTAATGTAGCAAATATTTATAAAGCCAACACCCTGAATTAATAAATATTAAAATTTTGTGGGTTTTAAAAGACATATGTAAGTAGCTAAATCAACCATGGAAGAAATAGGATATTAGAAATGGAGTCACAGTCCTCTGATAATGTTTGCTATATTATCAGTCTTTCCTTTGTGTGTTTACGTTTTCTATCTTGTCTAAAAAACATTTTTAAAACATTTTTTTACCTTAAAATGATTGCTTTCTTTATGATCAGGGCTTTCATTTATTTGAAATGTATTTTTGTAAATGGATTAAAGATCTAAGATTGATTTTTGTACATGAAACGAGAATTGTCCTAATATCATTTGTTTAATAATCTGTCCTTTCTCTCCTGCTTTGGGATGTTTCCTCTATTTTATGCCCAATTAACAGAAGTTTGAACTGTTAGTGGGCTTTGTATTCTGTGACACTTTTTATACCTGTCTAAATTTGAATAAGGTCATGCCATTTTATTTATGATAGTTTATTAATCTTGCTAACTTCTAGGAAAGTTTACCTCCTGTGGGTTTTTTAAAAATAGGTTTGGGGATTGAATCCATGGTGCTTTACTACTGAGCAATATCCCAGCCTTTTGTATTTTTTGTTTTGAGATAGGGTCTCCATAGGTTGACAAGAATAGCCTCACACTTTCGATGCTCCTGTCTCAGGCTGCTCAGTTGCTGGGATTACAGGTGTGCACCACCATGTGCAGTCAATCTGTCATTGTTAGAATCACCTCTGCTCTGAATTTACCTTACTCTCCATGGTGGAGCTCTTTCCTCTAAAACATGGTAAAATCCCACTTCCTGAGAGCTGACCCCAGCTGATCCCAGCTCTGTTTCTCCTCCCAGAACTTCCATGTGGGACTCACTCATTTATCATGAACAAAAGGAGGATGTTCTTATTATAATCATGCCCATTTTGACAGATGAGGAAACTGAGGCATGAAGAGCTTGGCTTCAAACTGAGGTATTTTGATGCACAAAGCTACATTTTTAATTGAAACACCAAACTGCCTCTCTGTTGAGAATGGAAAGGGGTGCCATTATGAAAACTTACATGAATTTTTAAACTGTTTTTTCCTCCAAATTTTAATTTCAACCATAAGAAAAGTTGCAAGAATAAGAGATGCACAAAGATACTTGTATGATTTGTCTGTTGTAAACAATTTACCTTATTTGCTTTATCCTATGTTTCTCTTTCTCTGTGTGTATTCCTAAATATATCAGTGTGTATTTCTTAAGAGTGTAGCAACCTGGAGGGAACTGGAGGACTTCATGTTAAGTGAAATAAGCTGGGTGAAAAAAGACAAATACTGCAGGTTTTCACTCATTTGGGAGAGCTAAAAAAAAAAAGAAATCAATCTTATAGAAGGAAAGAGTAGAACAGTGGCCAATGGGAACAGAGAAGAGTGACGGGGGCGGAGAGGAAGGAGAGAAGTTAGACAACAGTTCCCAGAATACATTCGGGTGAGAGGAATGAATTCTGGTGTTCTATAGCACAGTAGGGTAACTCAGTCTACAATAATTTATGACCTATTTTATAATTACTAGAAAATTCCCAAGTTTCCCAACACATGGAAACAATAAGTGTTTGAGGAGACAGAATTGCTAACTGCCCTGATTTGATTATTATACATTTATATAATTTATCAAATTATTATACATACACCATAAAGATGCACAAATATTATGTGTAAATTAGAAAAAT